AAAAAAAAAAAAAAAAAAAAAAAAAAAAAAAAAAAAAAAAAAAAAATGGGTTTCTGGTAATTTATTCAATTTCACCCAACTTCGAATTTTCACACACACGTATCCTTCCCACGTGGTTATAATTAGCCCGGAAGTCTAATCGATTGACAATCGAGCGAAAATCGATAATGTTAACAAAAAAAAAAAAATCTATAAGAATGAATAATAATGTTTATAAATAAAAAAGAAGTCATTGCTGTTAATTTTTTGTGTACAATATATCTATACTTGGTGCAATTCCATGGACCCAATGCTCACCAGCCCTTCTTTGCGCGCATTTTATCCAATGTCCTATATATGTATACACCAAGCGAAGTTGTCAACTCGACCGAAAGGGACCAGCGAAGAGATACGTAATTCTCGAGAACAATAAAAAGGGAGTGTAAATAATGGTATGACCATAATAAAGAAATCATAGTCATTGCGTAAGGTAGTTTGGTATATATAGTGTATCTGACGTAACTTCGTCTGGCTGAACTATGAATCTGAAAAAGAGTAATAGACACTCGTCTAGTGTATATATATATATACATACATACATATAGCATGTATACAGACATAGAGTCTCGGGAATGGAAGTGGCCCAGCAGAAAGAGGGATACAGAGTGGAAGAGTAGAAGCGAAAACGAGTCCCTAGGGAACCCTTGAGTTAACTACCAGATCGATGTCTGACCCCATACCCGGGTTCATCCACTTCATCCCCCTCGAAAGCCAAAAGCACCCCATCCCACTTGGAAATAGACACAGAAACAAGTTTCAGGAGTCTTCGACGAGGAGCGAGATCTTTTTCTTTTTCTTTCTTTTTTTTTTTTCTTTTTTCTTGTACTTTTTTACTTTCTTACTTCTTCACACATCGTTTCAGGGTCTCCTGCAAGGAACGTCCAATGATATCACGTATGTATATGGGCAATTGTATATATGGCTAATAACTGTATAATGGTGAATATGCAATATTTTTTTATAATTTTTTTTTAATTTTCAAATACACGAATTTTGAACAATTTTCACGTGGGCAATATTTTTATGGTTATGGGTAATGAGTATGGGGTGGGTAACGAGATGATATTTTTTTTGGATTACTCTATAGATATATTTTGAATGACTGGGTATGCGATGACTGCGGATGAATGGACCATCGAATGCTGTGAATGTAAATCATGGCTATGCAAATTTTCTTGGTTGATTCTGTGGGAGGGGAAGGAGGGGGGGGGGGCGTTATTAACTGCTAGTCCCTATGGGAATTTCAATCTTTTACAAGTGTGTGTATATGTATACTATGTAGTGATGACGGAATATACGTCTGGATTTTGACTGAAGTCGACAACTGTTTTTGTGACTGTCAATTATTTTTGGATGAGCCACTACAAATTACACGGATTGGTTAAAGATGGAATACCATAAATTATTGTTTAGTTACACTGTGTATTAATGGTAGCGATTTATTCAGATTTTTGTGTACCAAAATTATTTTTTTATAGTCACAGGTGTTTATGCTTTTAATGCTTAACGACAATGATGATAACGATTTATAAATTAAAGCTGATTCTATTGGCGGTATGTTATCATATCTTTTTTTTTGTTCATCCTCTAATCGGCTTAATGCGCCGAGACGTTTTTTTACTGTGGAATTACAAAAAATATTTATCATCCCCTCTCTCCCTCTTGTTTTGAAATGTTGTAAGTCATGACTATATTTGGATCGTTCTTCAGTGAAATAGGGGTGGCAATATTAACGCAATGATTATAGGGTAAAATGGAGATTTAGAGTTTTAAGATCAGATCAGATACTGATGACTGTTATCATGCGACTGATACGACTGAAGAATCTTTTTTTTTTAAATTTCTTACTCGGCGGAATTACGAAGGAATTTGCGAGTAAGTGGAATTTCGGTATACAATTTCGAATGGAAAGTACTGCTGACAGCCATTAATTCGGTAAGGTTTTTTTTAAGTTATGTAATAATTTCAAAAAAGTACCGCCTCTCATGGATTGCTTGGTCGTAACAGTGCGCGACACGTGTACGCGTTATTTTGTGAAGAAAAAAAAAAGTTTTGATAAATAAGAATTCTATTACGTCAATTGGCGGGAATTATGGCTATAAAGATTTCGGGTTATTAGCGATATTAAGGGAGACAGTAGGATTAGTCTTAAACCAAAGATTTTCAGAGAGACTGCCTCACCCCTGTATTATTATTTTTCTCTTTCTCTATCACGATTGTACGATAAGCAAGAGACAAATAATAGAGCCGTCTTCGTGCCGCTAAAGAGAGCCACTTGACGTCTAATTAAACCGAAGATCTGATTATCAGACGTGGCATGTGCTATCGCAGAAATCCAAATGAGATAAAGGCGATTAGAATTTATGTGAATCTTAGAAGTATTCGATGATCGATATCGACGGTCGTATAATCGAAGTCCTCGTAAAAGTCAAAACGATAGCGAGGCGAAAAGTCTGAAACACATGAAAAAAAAATAAAAAATAAAAAAATGTGACAGTTGAATTAAAAGAATTATTGTTGCAAAAATGTACATATATCCAAGAACAGAAAAAAATGCAGAAAGCAGACAGGACGCGATGTTGACAGAACCAAAAAATTGCTGCCGACATACCAAAGGAGCAAAGAATACCAAGAAATGGTCCCGCAGCATCCGACTAATAGAAAGAGTCCATACCGAAGAAAAAGGATCCTCGTCCCAAGAAAGACTCCTTAAAAATCATGAAGGGCGTTCTTCATCCCCTACTGTATTCTTCTGTGTCTTCTTCATTCTTCTTCTCACTTCCTCCACCTCGCTTCATTCCATTTCGTATGGCCTGTCCTCTTTCTCACGGCGGCGGCCATTACTCCTCTGAGGATCCGTGTGCAGCCGCGAACCTGGAAAACAGCAAATAGATACTTTTATAGGGGTGCACGCTCGTAAAAGCATCCCCGAATCGGGTATCGATGGTTCCAAAGGGGCTAATCTGTAATAAAAGTCCAGGTCGAGCCAGGACACCGAGGTCCTGTCAGGTATAGGTACCAGACCTGTATGTGTGGGTAGGTACCAGAAGCATTCGGAGCCTGCGCCATTTTTTTTTCTTCTTCACTTTTTATTCTTGCCAGCTTATTGCGCGATTGGTCGGTTTTCATGCACCCTCCACGTCTCCGACTCCCCGTGCGTCGCTGACACTCCTAAGGAAAACCAACCCCTTTAGAGGTGCAGCGTGAGGTAGAAAAAAAGGAAAGATGGAAATCTCGCGTGTGTGCGCCATTGTAAATCATTCTGCTGTATTATTCGACCCTCCGTTGGAATATATGGTGGCATTTATAGGGGATTGCGAGAGAGAACAATTTTTTAAATGAGAAAGCACAGAGGGAGAGACGTAAAGGATGTGAAGTTTGTCATATTTACAGAATGTAAGAGTCAGTATTGTTGGGAAAATGATTTTGGAATCTTAGTATGTTTTGGAAAATATGGTATTTTATATTTTTCTGCTCCTTTTATTCCTTGCAAATTACTATTTTGTATAGAATTTTGGATTCGTGTTTTTTAAATTCAAACATCCGATGTGTATGGTGCTGCCATCTAGCGTACGCAAACGGCTTAGTAGATATCAATTATTAATGGCCTTTATTGGCACCGTTGAGCAAAGATAAATATACTAGGCAACTTACCGGGTTTGATGTCATTGTTGACTCAAGATAATTATATTAGGGATTCTCGTGAAACATCGTAATGTATTGTAAGCACATCGCACGTAAATCAGCAAGCTTGCACGAGAAAATTACGCGAGCCGCTCGTAGCGTAACAACAACCGGACGCCGGTAAGCGAGTTGATTCAGCAGCCACTAGGTGACGCGCGACAAGTTTAAATAGTCCACCGGTAAACCGACACGGTAACGCGCGGATATTTGTATGTACATACACGGAGAGAAAAATAAATGCGATATTCTTTTGTTACTATCCTGACTCCGGCGTGGTTCTATATTACTTCACTTACGTCCTGAGTTCAAAGAGATGCCAAAGCATAATGTCGCGAAAAGAGTTCTTCAGCCTAATTACGAAAAACAGCACAGCATAATGGAGAATCCGACCACCCGTGAGTAGAAACAGTTATTACTTTATTAACGCGGATAAATTGTGTTCAATCGTTGTCGAGCTAGCGGTAAGTTGTCAACCGTAAGAAAGTAAGATTAAAGCATAGAGCTAGATTGCACCTGGTACAAGAAAATTCTACCGACCGAAAACGCCATATTGGACGTACAAGACTAGATATCGTCTTTACCGACGACAGGTAATGACGTGCTTCCTGTTTTACCGACTGACCATCAATTATCGTATCATCTACAAGATGGCACCACATTAGACATTCTGAATGTAACGTACGATAAAAAAGTTAATTCCCGTCGACCAAAGTGTTTGTCATTCGCTTTGAAATATTACAATTTCAATAATAATGTGTATACGACGGCATTGTACTCTTTCGCAAGCTAATTATAATGATACCCTACAGTTAATTTGTCAAACAATTAAGCATGCTATTGTTTGTAATATTTGCCTTGCCCGACGTCATTCGTCCTGGCGAATTCCCACTGAATAAACAAACACCCAAAGGGGTAACATCCTTTAAGGGTTCAATAAACTAGACAAATAGTGTCCCAATTCAAAATTGCCTAATCCGCCTGAAACTCCATCGTGCGAAATAACAGTTGTTGTAACCTCTGTGCTGTCCTTGAAGTTATTCGAAGCACTCTAAAGAATCTTTAAATATAACGAAAGCTCGTACAGCTAGAATCACCATAAAGTCAAGCAGCGGATTTCCCATTCCCTAAATGTAAAAGGGGGTTGAAAGCAAACTTCTGCTTTAGGACGAGCGACAAAGAGAGCAGAAGTTGAAAAAACTCCAATTTATTGCCACAGTTATTGAGCAGTTCCAAATAGAAGTCTAAAATCGTACGATGGCGATGGTCTTGAAATCCAATAAGAAAAAAAAAACGCAATCTTCTCGCTTGTAATCGACTGGGGTACCTAACCGGGGACGGCTTATTAGTTCCCAAAATGACAAGCAAGCATATTCTCCAGCAGGGCCACCCTGTAAAAAAAAGAGTATCATCTCAAGATTACAGAAGACAGACATTGAAGTTTTACGATTCTCAGCGTGAAGAAAAGAAAAGTAAATAGTTAAAGAAATGTGAAGGAATGAGCCGTGTAAAAAAAGTGGTAAGAAGAAAATTGAGCTATCAGGCCGAAGGTAAAATTTCCAATAGTAAAGCGGTAAAGACGGCTGTAGTATAGGTATACGTATATATATAGTATATATATTTACAGATTGGCAGCAATCTCGCTTGTATAAGATTGGCAAGAAAGGAAAAGAGAAAGAGAAACAGTGAATGAGCGACGAGTCAAGAGAGACAAAGGAGGATGAAGAGAGGCGTCAGATAAAAGACAATAACCAGACGAGACGTGGCTTCAAACTTGGGTAAACAGTGAAATCTCAGAAAGCGAAGGAAAAGGGTACGTAACAAACACGAATGGAATGAACAAATGATAACGAATGAATGAAGAAAGAAAGGACGGAAGGAAGGAAGGAAGGAAGGATGGAATGAGCGGAGGAAGCCACCGGCCTTGTTTCATTGCCTCGAGGATGGCGCAGTCTGTTCGTGAATTGCTTGCGGCTGTAGCCATAGCAGAATCTCGCGAGATGACAAAGGGGTTGGTTCTCTTTATTTGTCTTTGGGAGTGTTTACCACGGAGGAGCTAGGGAGACCCGATGAGGAATGAAGCTTCGCCAGTAGGGAAGTATGGGTAGGGGTAGCAAACCCCTCATCCTCAGGAGGAACGGTGGACGAGGTACCGTGTGGGCAAATAAACAGCCACCAAATTAAACCGAGGAGCCAGGACCCACCCCTTCCGGATCCAGTCGAGGATGGATCCCCATTGCACCCCTGTACTTCTCTTCCTCATCCACTTCGACGTTCTATTCCCTCGCACCTATATATTCTCTAGCTCTTTTAACTCTGCTTCTCCTCTAGGAATCACGTGCTGGGACCACGAAGACGGGGTACAGGTAACGGACAGACAGGGTGGAGTACTGGAAAATGTATGACCGGGTACTAGGAGCGCTAAGGGTGCTTTTGATTCTGGGCTCAGAGCCAGGATTAGAGTTTATACGTATATATATATACACATGTAAGTATACCTATATAGGGTGATATACTTTACTGTATAGGTACATAGACAGTGCATGCCCGGGGTGAGAGTTGGAGAAATTAAAAAAACGTAGAAAATGGTGCTGTGAATTAACCGGAAAGCCCAGAGCCATACCTTCTTCGTATACAACTGTACTGGTACAGGTCCTGCTGCTTCTACTCCTGGAGACGAGGAAGATGTGTCCTGCAGCTATAAAGAGGTACGGGTAGCGTCCATGTGATATCCTTCCTGCATCGCATTAAAGTGCACTCCGATAGACGAGCATTCGTCACCATCTATATGGGGAGTATTGCTGAAGAATGAATACAAGGAAGGACGAAGAGCGTGGTGAAATGATGGATCCTGGTGTTAGGAGGCTCTTGGCTGTTGCTCGAGTGGCGGTGTTTTATTGGAAATACAAAGACAGTAAAATGGAGCAATGAAAAAATATAACCAGGTACCCATCTACATAAATGGTACATCATAGGAGCAGCCTTGCAGAAGCAGCTCGCACCATTCAATTTTTAACGTAACACGGGCTGTCCCAAGAAGATCCTGAGGTAGGTTCGATTGGCAATTTTGTTTGTAAAAAATTCTTTTGCCCTGTAGAAAATCCTCTTGACGTATCCAGGCGGCGATAACGAAGGGTGCGAAAATCCTCGAAAGATGGCTGTAACCCCAAGAAAGAGGCTGACACGTGGAGGTGGATAAGATTTTTAGGTTCAGGTAGGGCTGGATGAGGGACAGGAGTAAAAAGTAAGTGGGTTGGAGATGATTTTACCAGAAGGCAGACGAGGAATCATGCAAACACATTCGCGGCTCTACGACAGGGTCCGTTCCGTTGAGGGTGGCATGGAGGTGGCAGGGAGGTCGAAAAATATATGACGGATACACACCGTCATCTCGAATCCGTACGCATCGGGTAACGCAGCCTCTCCACTACCTACCATCCAAACATCTCCTCTACGATGGGCCAAGGCTTGACGTGCTTCGCGTTATGGGGAGAGATGGCACCGTTATTAGGCTTACGTCGGCGCTGGCGAAATTGAAAAATAAATTGTCGAGGGACTTAGGGGCCCTCCCCTCCCTTTCACTCCCCACATTGGATATCCACCATGGCTGGTACCCCTTGGTTACGCGAGCGCGTACCACCTACCACTTAGTTTTTCTCGCTACTCCAGCTTTTCAGGAGCGTACCTATTTCTCGACACGAGTTTTATCCCCTTGTCTTTGATTGTACAGAAATTGAAGTTGTGCTAGCTCTGGTAGCTCTGTCAACAGAGGTAAAAGCATGTATAAAAAAATTATTTTTACAAATTAAAATTTTGAAATTTCGATATCGTACGTTTTTTTTAAATCTTATTTTATGCTTTTTCTCCTCGCAATCTTCTATACGCATTACTCAATGCTTCCTCCGCCAACCCTTCCTCGTGGGTCGATATATATGTATATTGTATATATATATATATATATATATATATATGGCACTGTCAAGTTCTCTCGCGAGAATTTGTGCCAGCAACTCTTTAGCCAGTAAACAAACGAAGCTCAGGTTTGATTGTCGTATGTTTAATCAGGCTTCAGGAAGTCGCGACAGAGTTCATGTAGTGTCAGCTGTCGTCGGTTTCTCGTATTTGCGTCAAGAAAATGTACGGGCAAACTTACGCGTGTGCTCATACGTTACTGTTAACCTTGACTGTGCACCATGTGCACCGCCATTTCAACACACGTCACATTCCGAAAAGCGTCAGCCACTGGTATGGATTATATTAATAGTTTTTGTATATTCCTCCAATAAGGAAAAAAGAAGCACAACTAGAAGTAAAATAAAAATTCAAATAATACAAAATCAATTGAAGAAAGTAGTGTCTCACCTATGAATAATTCGTGCAGCTGGTATACGCGTCCTTGTCCAACGCACGTAACACCACATAAGTCCCTCTCACTCGCACTCACGGCAGGTATACGAAACTTAAAAAATCCAAAGCACCCTTGGGGCCCTGCTCCGATCAGTCGGCCGCTACTGGCCAGCTGCCAACATCCAATTGGAAAACTTTACCTGCTTCTGGCAGTAAAATCTTGTCAATTGATGCTTGACCGAAATGAGCATGTATCTGGAAAATCCAATTGATGCAACAGAACGAGAGATCATCGTACGTAATACCACGTGAACCCATCTGTCAATATTCTCCATTCCATATTTCGCAACTGGAAGTAATTAAAGCTGATTGTGACTGTGCCGAAGGCAAGAGTGTATTTGCGACAGTGCTAAGGTAACAGTATAAAGCGATTCACCCCGTTAGCTCGTTTTATTTTTCCTCCCAAACTCCCGCCCCCCCCCTCCTCATCCTCCCTCGCTCTCTCCACCCCCATAAACCAACCCCTGTGTAATCCGGATGAGAGAGAGCAGAACAAGGAAAACAAAAAAATGTATCACCCCTCGCAACACCGTTTTGTTTTCGTTCGTTCTCATGGAATAGGGGTGGTTTTCTAACCCCCCCCCCCTTCCCTACATACATATAAAACATATATATACATATATGACTTACCAAGCCATTTGAGTTACATACACGAAGGGTGGAGGAAGAGGGAAGGGTGATGACCTCATGCTCTGTCACGTTAATGGCGTCTATTGATCTGTCAAGCATCGTCACGTTAATGAAAGAACTCGTCTCGCACGACGTCCCCAACGATAAACGCGTCTCGACGCTAAAGAGAGAGATGCTGAGGAACAAAGAAAATTGTGGGTCATCGCACATGGCAGGCATATATATACGTCGTAGGTATAGGATACTAAGAGGAAAAAGTCATTTGTTTGACTGAGGTAAGTTAATACTGATTTATAACCTGTAATATTTAGGGTAAATTTACATATGAGATTATTGGGGGTTGTTGATCAATCATTTAAGGGTTGCTAATCTACCCCGTGAAACGAGGTGTCGTCGTCAGCGACAAATATTTGGTAGTACCGGATCGAACGAGAGAACGAGAAGAGATAGCTACGGCATTGCGTTGTTATAAGACGATCGAATGAGAAACAATGTGCAATGCTGCCAAGTTCACGGGTATCTGTATATCCTACCTTCGTAATATCTCCTGGATTTCCTGGGATCACTTCTGTCAGTCGTTTTCCTACGTTCCTTCTGTTTTACCTTCCTCCTTCTGTATGCCTTCTCCGATGGTTCGGTTCGCTTACGTTCCGCTTCTCTACGGGGAATTACTCGAGCTCCTTGAAATCGACTCCGTTCAAAGTACAATGGCCGGCAATAAATTAAGTTGAAAATGGAGCATTAGATTCTGCCGGGTACACCCTTTATATAACTCACTCTATGCTTAATTGAGCCTTTCAATATTATATGTATTTTACCTTGTATTATTCTCAATCGTATTTACGATCCCGTTCCGTTGCTTTGTATGGCCCGTGTATCGTAGTAACGTTGGCGCTAGTGTCGCTGCGTCTATTATCGGTACTAACAGGTTTAAGCGGCAAATACAATAAGCACTCGGGTTATTAAAGACGGCGCTAGTGTTGCGTTTGATACCCAGACTAATTTTAACGTCTATTCTACAGTGTCAGGAGTGGAATGAATAATGGCGGTTGTACAGTGTGAGGCAAAACAAGTCCTCGACTCAATGGTATGACAGAGAATGGGGAGTTGGTATGGTACAATAGAATAAAAGATGCGGTCTTCTGTTGGACAAACGTAATCTATGTATGAATCGAGCATGAGGTAATATCGTAAAATTGAGATAGATCGTAATGGCGTCTAAATTTTTTATCCAAAGTTCCGAAGGTACGTGTTCTATATTCTTAGAACTTGTCATTATCCTGGGTCGTATTACGTAAATTAATTATGTAATACCTTCGCTGTTTATATTTCGAATATGTAAGTTTGATGTCTACGAAGATTTATGTATTTCATGAAATTTATGTAATACCTAGTCTCGGCGTGCGGTTTATGTATATGCAAAATATTCTTTTGAAGGGGAGTCTACGATATATTTTTTTTCAGCATATAACATGTACCGGGTAATACAATAACGAAGGACGTAATTAAATTGCCGACATGATTTGGTAATATGTACGATATTTTCGTTTTATCAATAAACCTCGTAACGTTAACGTCTATACAGTGTTTCGCTTTATTGATTAAATTTTTAGTAGACGTAAATCGTAGTCACTGCAATTTATACACTGCCGTCGGAAAATTTCTAGACCAGACTTATGAACTGTACTTGAACCTTTTTGCATTCTTTTTTCCCAGCATTCAAATAAATCGTATTTAAGATTTTTCTACAAAATAACGTATATACCCGCTCCTCTGTACGACGCGAAACACACCCCAAACGTTTTTGAGTTTTAGTTCAATTTTTTGCCGACCCTCGTCCGGAAACTTTCTGACGGCAGTGCATATAGATATAGTTAATTAAAAAAATGTCTATTAAATTATTATAGACACTATCTGCTGACAGATTTTTATCCTGTTTTCACAGTATTATACAGAATCCTGTATAATTTATTTTACGTATAATGAATCATGTAAACCAAGCATTAGGTTATATAAATTCAATATATATGTCTGACCTGGCACACTCGACACTACCATAAACACAGTCGAAAAAGGGACTAAGGTTTGGCGGGAATTTTAAACAGTATCGCATCGCTGATCGTCGCCTTGTGAAACATCAAAAGAGATGGGAACGAGATCTGAGAGAAGGAGGGTTGAAATTATAGGGAGTGCAGACAAGGTAAAGGTGGATGAGTCGATAGACCGAGAAAAATATATATATATAATGCACATAACTGTTCCGAGTACCGCGACAGTAATGAACAAAGAACGGGAAGATTTCATCTTAATACGTATTATTCCCTTTTAAAAATAGCACAGGGCTGTCTGAAGGCCAAAGTTTTCCAGAGGCAGGAAACCTTTGTTTTTGCCAGTGGTAATGTTAGGGGTTGCTTGATATATTTTTAAAAGCGACCACAAGCCCCTTCGCATTAGAACCGTTTATCAACCAGAAACCTGTCTCGATGCTCGTTACGAATGCCAACTGTTTGTAAAGCATGTTTGTCTTAAAAAAAAAATAATTTTTTTTTCCAAATTTTTATCCACATTACATCCGACCTCGAAATTCGTATTTTTCGAGTTATCCTTGCACGTAAAGATGCCCCTAAAGATTTTTTGTATTTGGTACGGGAGAGGCGAAAGGAACGAAGTTACGAAATAGGGGATGAAGTAAAACAACAAAGAATTCCTTATCAAAGTTAAATATCCCTTGGCTTCTGTATTTGGCATCGTCATCTGCTTTCTGTCTTATTATAATACCTCGAGGGGTCCAAAGATTTAAATGACACAAAGAGAAATATGGAAGAGGATCGTATGGCTAAGGCACAGTGGTATTTTCTGGCGACGCCGCGGGACAACTAAAGTACGGTTGGGAGGAGGTGTCAGTGTAAGAAGTGGTTAGGCAACTCGAGTCGAGAGGATCGTAATGACTTTTTGCGACTCGTGGGAGCCCAAAGTAGGGACGAAGGTAGGCCCTAAGCTCCGACCTAAGTCCTCCTTTTGAATATCGTTGCGAGAAGACACCCCCTCCTCGTCGGTCAACCCCCCCGGGGACAAACTTATCCCCGTGGCATTGGTGCATCCTGGCCACCCTCTCCTAACCATACCAGCACCCTCCAACCCCCTATTTAAAGATCACTCAACAATTTTTCATTCCACCCCTGCGTACGAGACTGACGGAGAAAAAGGAAGACCGCTAGATCCAGGACCCGCGGGTTTTGAGAGTCAGATGAGAGGAGCTACGGTCGCACGAAGTACACTTGAGAATCTTGTGTCTTAAACGTGATACGATGGGCGTAGAGAAGTTTTGTTAAATTTTAGTCTTATTTTTCTCATTCCAATTCAGGTCGGTGACTTTTATTGTCTGGCTGACTACTTTTTTTCGCCTCTTTTCTGATAGCTATGTATGGATAACGATAAAAGTGAGTGGCGATGTGTCAGTTTATGTATGGTTGCAGTGCGCGAGGTATAAAGAGTAATTGAGAACGATGAGAAGAGGGTGAAGGTTGATAGGGCGATGCCGGCGAGGGGAAGGGAGGAGTGGGATCGAAAGTGTCGAGGAGCCCCGTAATCGTCAGAAGATAAATCGAGGTCACGCAGCATGGCCAATAAATTCATAGGGAATTAATAAAGAGAAGATAATCAAAACCGAAGACTTATCCTCGCATCATGATAGAGATTCAGAGAGGACGTAACTTTCGTTGGTTAACAATTAACATATATATTACATTTACATTAACACATATATATACATGCTTAACATATTTTATTTATCTATATATAGTATCACAGATGGCATACAGCGCCGATTATACGTGGAATTGGGGATAAAGTTTCAATTTGATCGGTTGAGTCAATTTGTAGAGTAAAAGACTGAAGGGTAAAGTGTTGTGCTTGTCCGTGAGGCTAGAAAGTAAATTTATTATATATATATAAGGGGTTAAATCAACCCCTCCTATTAATTCTTATCACTTTACTCGTGCTCTCTGTCTCTCTCTCCTTTTTCTCCACGTGTAGACGATCTATCTTCCGTGTATGGTAACTTAAAAATCTGTTAATTCGAAATGTCGATCGCCATGTTTGATAAGGAGAATCGACGATAAAACCGACCCGTCAGTCTCGACGGTTAAATTTGATTTCGGTTGACCCTGTTTCTTGCGTAAGGGGTAGTAAAAGGGTGGACAGGGCGCAAAAAAGACTCTTCTTTCTCTCGTGTACATTTCCCCCTTTTTTTTCTTCTGTTTATCTAGCCCGCCGTATCCCTCCTCGCGTCGCACCCTCCCTCCCCAAGAGCTGCGCATGAAACCTCCAGGGAAATTAAACGACATAACGATAGACAAAAAAAAAATGACGAGAGAAATGAAAAATACATTGAAAATTATGAGAAAGTCGGTAGGTTATACAATGCACGGTTAACTAAGCTAGGGGTATCGTTGCACCCCCCTTACACCCCTGAAGTCATTCCCTGAAGGGTAGTGGAGAAATACGGTAACGTGCAGTAGAGAGGTACACTGACTTTTAATCTATAAATAAATCTGATTTTAATGCGATTGAGGTTAAATTATAAATGATTCTTCTTTTTGAGGGTTGAATATAGGGGATGAGAATTGGAGGGGGAGGGGGGGAAGGTAAAAGATATCAAGTAGATGGAACAACAAAGTGGAATGAAAACTGTAGGCTCTGTATGCTTTTACGGTTTACATTGGACGATGCGAATGAGCGAGGAGTCACTTATTTATACGGGGTCGAACGGGGGTTGGAGTAAATAAGGGTTGCTAAAAAAGTAACGGGACCGACAGCCCAGCCGGTGGAATGCGAGAGTGACGGCATAAAGCGTTCTGAAAAACTACCCGGTAGAGACGCGTATACATATATATATCGTTCTGTATCTTCTAAGGGTTGCCTATCTAACACACGAGGTTATAGGCGCGGCTCTATAAGGGTAGTACACTACAGTCTTGTATATATGTGCATATACGGTCTTTTTCTACCCCTTTCTTATATTTTCTTCTCCGCCATTTTGTCTCTCTCACTTTTTCTTATCCTACTTCCCACCCTTCTTTTTTGCTCTTTTTTTTCCCTATTCCTCCTTTTCCCTCTCGCCCTAACCCCACTTCAAAAACGTGCGTTCGTCTCCGACCCTCCACCCCCCCCCATAGCCGGGATCTCCTTAAACATTCATAGACCGATTCGCGGGGTAGTTTTCGTGCGAAGAAGAAGAAGAAGCCGGCATCCCCTTTTGCTGGCCCCTTGTACGATGCCGGCGGTTAGAGCTATACCTACTTGGTTCGTGTACCTTGGTAAATTCCTATGTTTTCATCCATGCCAACCTCGCTGGATTTTGGTGGTAGAGGATGGCAGGGGGTGGCAGGGGGCGACGGAGGGTGAACTCTCGGAGTGGTTGTTACTGTATTAAGGTAGATGTGCCTGTCTATCCTGACAGCTACGTAGCTCTTTGCGTTCCCTCTTATTTACGCACCTCTTTATTTGACAGGCTCATACGAATTTTAGAAAGGCTTTGGCGAACCCGCAGGAAACTGGGACGCCTACGTTTTATTTATTCGGGACGCCAGCCGAAAAGGGGCGGCTACACCCCATTCAAAACGAATGGGATAATCATTGAAATTAGAGAGGCAACCTTTTTCTCACTCTCTCTCTCTCTCTCTCTCTCTCTCTCTCTCTCTTTCTGCCTTTCTCTCATTATTCCTTTATTTCCTCTGGCCTCTATGTGACTTGAGATTAATAAGGGAGGCGGCTACTGAGTCTGTTATTAAGGGATGAAAAATTAGGTCTGAATTTTTGTGATAAAAATAAAAACTGTTGACGCCAACGAATCTGTAATAAAATTGAGAACAATTTTTATTGGGCATAGACTGAGCTTGTACGAGTAGAGATGCCATAGGGGATGATCCAGGCCTTCGTATGAACTGGCAGGGGTGCCAGATTCTGTAGAAAGGCTGAAAATAAGTGGAAAAGGGTGCAAAAGTTTAACCGGGTATAGAAAGTCTTGGTGGGACAGAGAGAGGCAGTGGATGGACCTCGTGGCTTTTATAGATAGGCATCTCCAGACAGTCTGCAATGAGCTACCCCTAACCAGACTCCAACCCCTTAGTTCTCTTTTGGGGTAATAAACGACTGTCTTGCCTATATAGAGATATCCTGAGACGGGACTACCGAATACTATCAGTATAAAGGAGATTATTTCATCGAGGGAATTTTTGATGGGGTAATTCAGTTTTATTAAAAAATATATACAGGGTGAATCACGAATCGTGATCAGTAGAGATTACTTTGTTATTAGCAGTCCGATCGAAAATGTTTTTATCAGCTTTTGCATGATTTCAAGAGAGCTTTAACGTGATAGTGAAAAATTACTGGTCAACTCTTTTTTTAATGTTTTTTCAAGGTCACTTTGAATTTTTTGCAACTGAACATATAATTTTTTTACGCCTGTTTCTTAGATGATTTCAAGGTGCATGGTTTCAAGAGAGCTTTAACGTGATAGTGAAAAATTACTGGTCAACTCTTTTTTTAATGTTTTTTCAAGGTTACCTTGAATTTTTTGCAACTGAACATATAATTTTTTTACGCCTGTTTCTTAGATGATTTCAAGGCGAATTCGGCACATGTAAGGACATGACATTTTTTTCATCTGGTTCGAAAGAAAATTAAAAAACTAAATACTCCTTATCACAAGGAGAATCACAGCTATGCCGTTATACGCATCCATTCTGTCGTCTTCAGTCGCCATCAGTGTAGAGGAGAGGCCATAAGGAATGCAAAACAATCTTTTGTTCACCGTCTACGCGAGTGCATTGCAGCTCGTGGAGACCATTTAGAACATCGCTACAATTAAGATTGGTAAATTTTGACTTGTCAACAACATTGGATGCGTAATAACGGCGTAGCTGTGATTCTCCTTGTGATACAAAGTTTTTTAATTTTTATGGCCTCTCCTCTACACTGATGGCGACTGAAGACGACAGAATGGATGCGTATAACGGCATAGCTGTGATTCTCCTTGTGATAAGGAGTATTTAGTTTTTTAATTTTCTTTCGAACCAGATGAAAAAAATGTCATGTCCTTACATGTGCCGAATTCGTCTTGAAATCCTCTAACAGACAGGCGTAAAAAAATTATATGTTCAGTTGCAAAAAATTCAAGGTAACCTTGAAAAAACATTAAAAAAAGAGTTGACCAGTAATTTTTCACTATCACATTAAAGCTCTCTTAAAACCATGCAAAAGCTGATGAAAACACTTTCGATCGGACTGCTAATAACAAAGTAATCTCAACTGATCACGATTCGTGATTCACCCTGTATACAGGGTGAATCCACTAGAAGCGGAACATCCAAATAATGGACTTTGATCGCGAATATTAAAGTCGTTCAAAATATATTTTGAACATTTTTTTTGCGGATCTTCACGAGTAACAGACACTTTTACGTGGTGAGTTTCAAGTGGACCACCCAGTATAGATGTCGATAACGCGAGCTATTTTTAATTACAATTTTTCCATAAATACCTGGAACTTGCGAAATTTATAAAATTCTCGAAAAACATGTAAATTTTACGCACCCCTAAAATCGACCCTAGGCCTGGTTAAAAAATTCTCTATATACTGTGAGTTGGCGGACCCTTCTTCTCGGGTATTTGTTTTCAATGTTCTCGCACACTTTAAATTAATTCCCACGAGGATTTCATTCAGCCATGACGCCCCAGTTCCGGTTCCGGTACTTTAATTGCTTCGGGGATTATTCGAAATTCTCACTGTTCGGCTGTCGCTCCTCGAATGGAACCAACCCCAACCAGCCACCCTCTATACCCAACTATGCTTTAGCTCTCGGCCAAATTGTATCCCAATATACGTACGTACCAGCCGTGGTTCAAGACTGGCAATACATATAATCTTCCCACCCTGTAAATCCAGCAGGCAAATTACGTATCATAAATTTTAGCCCCCTCAAGAAGAATAATGTCACGTTCCCTCACAGTGTTGTAATTTCTCACGAAATATGTAAAAAATATCAGAAATTCCCAAAAAATTACCTACGGTAAGGGTCGATTATAAAAAAAGTTCGATTACAAAAGTGCAATAAATACCAAATATAAATATTTTTTTAATGAATATCCTTGCAAGCACGTTAAATAAATAACTGTGAATTACTTTTCTACAATCAATTTATACGTCTCCTTCTATACCTATATGAATTTATGCGTATGTAACTGCCTGTACCATACTCGTCGCGTCTACTATGCCGACATATTAATTACTACGAATTTCTCATCGTAATTAATTTCCAACATTACCAGCGAGCACGTATAAACACAGAATTCACCACAATGATTTCCACAAGGATTGATATCACAAATTATAATATATAATGAAAATATCAGTCTCTCGACATTGACAGTGTATATAATATACCTATATTTCATTTTCACCGCGTTACTTGAAAAGTATCCACAGGAATCCCTGTCAGTTTTAAGATGAAGATCCTATTTGAGTACAAGGATGGGTTGACAGTATCAGTAGGCCGATTACAATATAAGCCGATTATCTATTTCCCTGAACCTTCTGTTTTTCCAAGCGTTTCGAATCGTCCCCATAGGTAAGCGCCACCAACAAGTAATATTCGCATTTGGGGTCCCAGTATTATTTTGTCCAAGTAAAATTCTGTCACTGAAAAGAAACAGCGAAAAAATTATTAAAAAAGAAAAGAAAATTATTCAAGAGGCCAAAAGTGCCTCCTAGCCTCTAGAGCATCCTTTAATAAGAATGTTGATAAAAATCAAGAAGACCATCCGAGGAGTGCTTCTCAAGGATTCTCCAATTATCCAAGTTTAGTTCGCGATTTGTCCGGTAGAGGGTACTAGTGAACGAATAAAAAAGCAGTGCGCGTTTCCATGTATCGAAATTCCAAGTAACCTAATTAAACGTTACCGGTAGTCGCTTTCAGGTTGTATTACGAAAATGGAAAATCACTTGAAAAATCCATCTTGAGTGAAAGCATCATACACAGTTTCACCCTTATCCAATTCTCCGTTTCAGTCTTACCCTTTGTACGAAACTCAAGCTTCCGATTCCAGTGGCACACTCGAATACTTTTAACGTCGAATTTTTCCTTCGCGGCTGCTTCTAAAGGATTACCAAGTCACCGTAGCGACTGCTCGGCCCAGGAGCGCCCAGTCGCCATTAAGCGATCGATCGTTCCGGTCGGGTCCGTGTTATACGTATAACCTATACTTCTACTACTACCACTGCGACCATCTCCATCAGTACCATCAGCACAAGTGCCACGATGGTTCCTCTCTTTCTACCCATTTACTCACCAGTGGACCACAGTGATTTTGTCAGATTATACTTTGCCAAATGTCTCTTTACAGTCGTTACCGAATCGCCTGCTAACGTTTCTCTCTATTCTCCACGTTTAAGAGAACATTTCGAACTAATTGCTGACAAAACTTCCCAGAAATGGACTCCAAGTAGGTGTATAATATTACATAAATAAGATATAACATTTTGGTAACATTTTTACGATTTCCTCCTAACCTAATAATGCGCTATTTGTTGCGAGGTTAAGGAGGGTATAGAATGTTAGAGAAAATCTAGTGATATTTTAATTGATAGGTACAATACTAATTACACATTTAACCCGATCACTGTGGGGAGGGGGGATCGATTCGACCCAGGCCAAAATTTCAAACTTTCCCTATTTTGAAACCAAGCAAGGGAACGGAGCCTTTATATAATAAATTAATTTGTCAAACCTTACACATTTCAATATTTTATCGTAAAGTATCATGAGCATATGAATTTCTTCAGATTTTTAGGAAGATATTTTCGAGTCTTTTTAACCATGAAGTCGACTCAACCTCCCTCTATACTTAAATGATTAAAAAAGTGTTTTACACTGATCGGGTTAATAATATACATTTTTAAATACATAATATAGTCTGAAATATATGCACGTGGAACGAAAAGACAATGTTACGTATTTAGTCATATGGTAACGCCATTCGGACTGATTACGCCTTTTGTTTTACTTCTGTCATTTCAGAATGTCTCGAGTACCAAGTGTATCTCCGAGCTCGGGCGTCTTCGCCTTTCCGTCAGATCCGACGTCACTCAATGGCACGTTGTTACGAGGGACGTCGAGTCCTCGTGGAAAAGTGTAACGGCAGTAGAAGCAGGTAAGGTTTCTTTACGAGTCGTCAGTGCGCATGCGCGAGTGGACGCCCATGCGCACTGCTCTTGTTTTATCTATAAGGGCAGGTAATTTGCTTTAGGCTGGTTAGTTCTTGCCTGTCCTGGGTCCGAGACAGTCGACTAGGTAATGACGGTATATTTGTACTGCCAAACGTCTAGTCACGCCGGTCACTCTCACTAGTCACAAAATCCGTGTAACTCAATCTACTTTTACCGTGCGTTCCTTTTGTCCTTAGGACGATAAATTCAAAAACAAATGATTTCACACACGAGAACATCGTCAAGAAACGGTGTCAACGTCTTGTGCTCTCGGATGAGGAGTACCAACCAGCTGAGATAAATGTTTCCGTTACGGTGTGGGAATACAAGCAGAGTAAGGGCTGATAGATGCCACGAGTGTTGCTGTCTGGTGATATATTGAACTCTATTCGAGATAAGCACTTTTCTTGTGACTAGAGAGGACAATAATTACGCCGGGTATATTTCACTTTGACGCCGTGAGAAGGAGGACTGTCTCGCTTGTGTACAATTTGAATTGATGTTGTTCCATAAGCTCGCAAGGAAGTAGAGCAGTCATTAATTGTCACCTGACTGGCAGAAGTAGGGAGAGCCTTTACAGTCGGCAGGGAATTAATGTCAGACCTTCTCGACATTAATCGCGACCATAATCGATTCGATGATTATTTATTGGTCCACACAAGTCATCAAATCAGTGACTCCCGCCGCCATCGAAGGATTAATCGCCTTGGATGTGATTGATGATCAAGATCTCACGATATCACCTTTGTGGACGTTCGTCGACTCCCTCGGGTATACTCTGGGTAAATACTATTAAACTACTGTAATATAGAACCGCTAGGGGGTCAATTGAGAACGACTTGTTTTTCTTCAATCCTCACCCCTAGCGTCGTGGTCGGTCGTTTCACCTGATCGTGTCGAGCAGTGATAATTTATCAGTCCTTAAATGTCCACGAATTCTCATGCTTACCATCAATTTACGTGAAAAGAACAAATATCGAGGGTTCGTGTATAGGAGCTATAATGGAAACACCACATCTATCCCACTAGCAGTAAAATGGTAGATTGAACAATAGGCTGTGATTGTAGAAGGACAAAAGAAGAAAGATTGACATCTACAAAGAAGAATTTCACTATCTGACGTATCTTGACAAATTTGAGGCCTAATTTCGGATTCATAAAGAACTATACTCTACTATAGTGTAAACAATCCGACGTGAAAATCTGGTGGGCAAATTGAGGCGAAAGAAAGAAAAGATAAATAAACATGGGCGTACCTGATGTGGAGCAGGCGAAGAGACGCTTGCAGGAGATATTGCGACGTGCACAGAAGCTTGAAATTCCAGCGCAGGAGCTAATCGCAACCAGGACTGCACAGAAGCTCCTTGCTAGAACGAAGAACGCGCTAGCTTGGACTTTTTGGATTGTTGCATTCCTGATGCTCCTCAGCGGCTTCCTGTACGCGCGTTGGCCGACACAGGAAGTGGAGACTGTGAGGACCGTATTGAGGCGGACGGTGAGTTGTTTAATTGTAATTGGAAATCATTTATAAATAATGTACATATAATACTTTTTTCAATCAACATTAATTTTTTTTTTGAGGTATCCATTGATTTTTCTAAGGCCACCATACAGTCGTCTCGAATAGGAAATGCTTATTCTCCATATACCAATGTACAATATAAAGTACAGTAAGCACGGCAGGAGCCCCGGGAACGTCCTGTGATAATTCGCGGTAGATCGAGCAAAGTAATTTGCCAGGTCGAGCGATAAAGACGAAGCTTTATTGGTCCAATAAAATTTGTCTCTCTCGCCCGCCAAACGGAAGCGAAAGCTGAAAGGATAGTACCTCATGCCTCTGGTACTTTTTAATCTTATCTTTCTTTTTTTTTTTTTTTAGTTGCCCTTCTAGAGCCACGTCTCTCTTTTCAGGACGCTTAACCATAATGACGGTCTCTGATTTTTTTAATGTCTCACAAGTACAGTATGGATTCATTGCATCATAACCGTAATGACTCATAATAGCCACTAGGTACAAATATGTATAGTTTAACTTGCTCTATTGTCACCTAGTACCTGATACACGTATTGAGATTTATAAGTGACCATTAAAAAAAAAAATTACACTTGACTGTAATTTGTACGGTAACGACTGTCCAGTAACTTGACAATAAAGTTACTCTTATCCACAACAGAAAGGACGTTACGCAAATAGCCAATCTACTTTCCTGCAAGACTAACAAGTAATCTTAAAACTTATGATTATAGTATACAGGTTAACATTGACTATCAGCTGACTTTGAAAAATGAATAAATCTTAGTTTCATTATTTTACATAATAATGCATGATTGTATTTCAGAACGGCGATAAAGTGTTATCAGGAAGGATAGGGGTAGATGGTAACTAGAAGACACTGGGTTGAGATCTATCTCTGTTATCGTTATTACTAAGGCATTACGAATCAAGGTAGAAGCAACCTGTGTGTAAGAACAAGTCAAAGTTGGGTAAAGTAAACCCCAATCTAATATATACGTTACATGTACATTCTGTATATCTATACATATGTATAGGTAACCGAAGGGTGAGAAGTTGGAAGTGGAGCCACGGACGGTACTTTAACGTGTTTTCTCCCTTCACGTGTTCAGCTTCGTCTTCAACGTGGTTCCATCCTATCCAACCGTTACGTCGGAGCAAGGGGTGTCTTCCTGAACGGTGGGAGAGTTAGCGACGCCAACGCCGGGACGCCGGGAGACAGCCAACAAGAAATCCGTTCTGTAAGCGGGACGCCGCAAAAGTTTTCGAATCTTTTTTGCGCCCAGCGGATGTCTGGGGAAGCGTAATACGCCCGGGCATCCATCATGTTAATCTTACCTTGGATGGAAAGGCATTACACTCTTATCCAGGCTCTGACGCCTTCTTCGATCTTGTCTTTACGTGGAGAGAAATAATGTTGGGTCAATTTTCGATGGGTCGTTTTGGATATCGATGTTTGGATCTTTTGTACGCCAGTGTTCGCTCTAGCTGTCTAGTGTGTTCTTATACGTACCCTGTTTGGTTGATGCGTTGACCCATCCACCACGTAGTGCCTTGTGTCGTGGTTCACTGAGGTCGTGGGACGTCACGTTAAGTTCGTTAAGGCACTCGAGTTAGCCAAGTTTCAAAATTATCGATTCAACCAGGTACCTGGAATCAGTGGACATGTGTCTCTCCATGGTGGTCACACTGACTGGATTTACCAGCATGGTCATAGCTTTGTTTATTGGTTGGAATTGTAGTTGAAACCACTATCAGCAAACAGGCTATTGTATGTATGCTGGTATACAGTGTAATACAGCTTTGATCCAATGCAGATAGTGAAGCAAGTGGTACATTAGCCAGACAGGCTTCTGATCAGTTTTCAAGTATCCATTTCTTGCTGAAACAACTTGGGCGATTTCGTTAAATTGAATTATAGATTAGGAATTTGATTAGATGAGCTAACCTGGGTATTAACCATCTTGATGGGTTTCTGAATTCTTGGGATATCAGGAAACGGATCAAGATGTAGAATGGTTTCATTGGTAATTCGAATATGCGGGTTGTTTCGATATTTGGGGATACCTAGGTAGCCATGAATTCTTTAGCAAATTCTTCGTGGATTCTTGACTGCTTGCGCTTCTCTACCGCTTGCAATACGAAATATTTCAGATTTCAATTTTATTGTCGTTACTCCGCCATTTTCTTTTTTGGATAATCGTTCCCGTACTCCGTTACTTTCGTAGCACCGAGTGTTTTCGTGAAGATTCTCGCGCGCTATTCACCACGGAAATCGTCATCCAGAGTCAGCAGTGGCGCCATCCTACGGAATTCCTGTAAAGCAGCAAAGTTAGGCGCAGGAAATCGTAACCGGAAATTAGGTGGAAGTCGCGGTTCGTTTATGTCGATTAAACGGTTCGTCGAATAGCTATAACTATTTTCGAAAGTTGATATGTACATATTCTCTTCTATTTTCCCTTTCTCCTTCTGCCCCACCCGTAACCCATTAACGAACTACTTTCATTCCGCTTTACCGTAATTCTCATATCTGAATACTTAACGCATTGCATTTTCTTATTGCTTAATTTCACCCGACATTTCCTCCTTCCTTCATTATCCCATTCGTACCGCAAACAATTCAACTCTCGAAACCCCTCTTTCACGGCAATCCGAATTTAAAAGCCAACTTGTAGATATAACGAAAGGGGAATGCTATTATGGATGGCAACCTAACCTAACATAACCCAACCAGTATACGTCGAGAACCATCACGGTACGGTTGTTCTATTCAGATATTATTACGCTTTATCCCGAAAGTGCATTAACCTCGACCACGACACAGATCCGGACAAAGCCACTGCATCGTTCTGCCCAGCGATATGGAAGCCAAGGGACGGTTGCCAACCTCTCGCAACCCGTGCGAAAATTTTCCTCGATTTACTTATACACACTGTGTACATACATCGCCGTATAGCCTTCAGAACTTTCCATACCGTAGGTGTTTATCTAAAAAAACATATCCAGATTCTCATCTACTTTATATAAGGGGTGACGGTTAGTTTTGCAAGTAAATTATTCTTTCATGTGCTGACCATTCGCAGCCAGGATGGGAAAAAAAAAGCAACTTTGTTTTATTCCAATGTAACGCCAACAGCTGGTAGTAACTATTTATTACACATATATAAATCCCAACTGACAGATCTTCATAAATAGTGTTCGCAAGTGCTATCTACTGTTCTATTGTTCATGCCCCTCGGTGCTTCCCACTCGTGAATTCCCTGCTCATTTTTCTCGTTACCGTCAAAAACTTCTAACGCTTACACGCGTTTTGTCTACGCCTATACTAAAAGCAACGGCTTTATCAATGTTTTCCCACGGATTTATTTCCCCTTTCAGGGAGTTGTCGCTCTGCCGCCCGAGTGCCCTATGAAAATGGGCATGTCTCCTACTCGCAAGACTACGTTGCTCTGCGACATTTTTCTTTTTTTCATACATGTTTTATCGTACCTTTTTGTTTTGTTCTTTCTTTTTCAAGGTTCTTGCCAGCCAGCCGCGTTTTAGGGGCTATTTCACCACTGGGAATTGTAACTTAACCTCGATTATCAGGGGTTTCCGGAAACTGTTTCGGGACCAGCCGAACAAAGAAAGTACCTTTTTATATCTTGCTGGGAACATTAAAAATAAAGTGGATAGCATCGCAACCCCGTAAAATCCCATTGAACAGTGTACAATGTTAATCTACAGTCAAAATGACGTGAGCACTGAAATTTCTTACTCCATAATTTTCTTTTTTTTCCTTTTCTCTTCTTCACCAACTGCATACAATTTTTCTTTACTCTTTTGTAAGCTTCTCAGGTAATTCCAATTTGCGTGATACGATCTTTGACTTTTAATGGTTATGCCTGCAACTTTTTTTTCTTTAACGGTACAATTGAAGACCGACTCCGCGTAATATCATATACAACATAATCGGACTAATTTTTCTGCCTCAACATTGAAATCTCTAACGGTTATTCATCCCTGAAATTAGTAAAATCTTTTTGTTCAGCTTTCACTCGGTTTTACTGACTTCTCTTTTTTTTCTTCTTTTTTAATTTGTTTTTCCTCGTTGCCCCTTTCCATATTTTATTTTCATCTTCGCCTACTGCCGGGTGAAGCGGGGCGCGGGAGGGAGCGGGGCTCTTTTCTCTCTCTATCCACCCTTGATTTCTCCTTCCCCTTCTCGTATAGGTCGGTACGCCTTAACTGGATGGTCTTTTATTCATGATTTTTCGGGCGATTTATTATTCCGTTCCTCTTGAACAATTTATTATAACGGACAGGCCGTTACCGTTTATACATTACCCATGCCATTTTTCCTTATACGCCATTATTCTCGTTATCGTTACTACCATCGCCAATAGTTGATAACAGTTTGTATCGTCTATCGTAACGCAATACTGTCCGTGTTATCTGATATTGTGTATCGTCGCGCTACAAATTGTTATCAGTGCCCGAATAGGAATCGCTTTATTCTTATTATTGTTGTTACTTTGACTTAAATAAGAACTTGAAGTTGTTCGCAATTACAAGGAAATGTGGCTACCTCGATCATGTAACATGAGGGTCCTTTACGGCAATAGATAATAAAATTGATTTGCCTAATGGTTATTGCTATTAACTTTTGTAATATAGTATATATATATATATATATATATATGTACCGACTTGACTACTCACTCCTTTAAGGGGAGCATACTATTTAGACGGCCTCTCGGCTATGTGCAATAACTCCATAAATATTTTATATTTCGATTTGTCCTTTATCCAGTACATTCGTAATATATTATACTTTCGAAATATGAAAAAAAAAGAAAATCGATTTTTTGAAAATTCTAAATAGTATGCTCCACCGAACGATTTTCTACTGTCCTCCAATACAGTTTTTCCCCGTCCCCACGAAAAATATCAATTTTTGAAATTCCCGCCTCGGGCTGCGAGCATCGGAACGCTCGTTTCCAAATGCATATTTGGATGCATTGTTAATGCATTCCCTTTCACTTTTTATTTGAAGTCTCAAATAACGCGTTCACGCTTTTTCGACTATTTCCTATATTCCATTTGAACGTCGTACGTTCGTCATGCCGAAGCGTGACGTACGCACACGCACGTAACTGTACAACCATGCGTCCACTAGCAGTATGTAAATTAACGTTATCGCGTGTTTCCGTAAGTTCCTTTCGTTTTCGAATAGCGCGGCAAGAAAAGGACATGCGAGGGGCAGCGAGGGAGGCGCTGACGAGCGGATATCGGCGGTACTACTTATTCGCGCCCTGGTTTCGAGGGTTCGACAGATTGAACGGGAATGCA